CCGTATGTACTTAAGAGTAGATTTGCTGGGCGCGGTGGCTCACGCCTATAATCCCAGCACTTTGGGAGGCCGAGGCGGGTGGATCACGAGGTCAAGAGATCGAGACCATCCTGGTCAACAAGGTGAAACCTCATCTCTACTAAAAATACAAAAATTAGCTGGGCATGATGGTACGTGCCTGTAGTCCCAGCTACTCGGGATGCTGAGGCAGGAGAATTGCTTGAACCCAGCAGGCAGAGGTTGCGGTGAGCCGAGATCGTGCCATTGCACTCCAGTCTGGGCAACAACAGCGAAACTCCGTCTCAAAAAAAAAAAAAAAAAAAGAGTAGATTTATCGCTTCTTATAATGTAAAAGCAGTTTTTAGATTAGAAAAATAATTACCGTTTTATAGAGTTAAAACATTTTTTTTGAATGGTGAGAGTATTAATGGGGAGTGGGGATTTCTCCTTGTCTCTGTTTTTTCAAAATATGTTTCACTATGAGGAAAAGAGCTTAACAAATATACTGGCAACTTATGTTGTATAATGCTCAAATTTACCATCATGAACAAGGAAGAAAACTGGAGAGAAGAAAAGTAGCATGCGGGAAGGCAGGTTAAAGGGGAAAATAGATGAAATCCAAGGATGACAAGTGTTTCTCTAATTTCTAAATGGGAAAAAAGAAAAGTGAACTTTATAAAGTAAAACATATTTAAGGTTAAATTTCTGCCGTGGCATACACAAAAGTGTATAATTCCAGCCTATAATCCCAGCACCTTTGCAAATAAATTCTCTAAGTTGCAGGGTTTTTTATTTGTAAAATGAAGTTATATTGCAAACCTTTGTGGGTTCTTGTGAAGATTAAATGAGCAGAAATACCAGCTACTTAGCTGAGCCCTGACTTTTAATATTGTTGAGACCTTATTACATTTTAAGCATTGACCTAAGCACTGTATAGGCTTTATTTTCACAGTAACCCTCAATTTGTGGCTAAGGAAACTGTAGCACAGAGATGTTAAGTAAGTATATAATCAAGTCCATACCAGTGAGTAGCAACCACTGGATCTTAACCCAGACATTCTGATCTCAGAGCCCTGGTTCTTAACCATTGTGTTATTTCTTATGTTCCCGTCATCTTTATTAAAACTGAGGACATACTTTTCCTTAAGAGCAGTGTTATGTAGTATTATAATACTTTCACAAGTTCAGATTATCAGATCAATGGATATTTCAGTGTCTTAGTATAACCTGTTGTAATGTTTAATAATTTATTATATAGTAGCTCTAACAAATTGTAATCTACCTTTTGTATAAGTGCTTCCAGAGACAAGAGACTTTATTACAAGACAAGCCATTTTATTGTTAGATAACCCAAAACATAAGGAATATATCTTGTGATAAAATTGATGCCTTTACTACTTTTTTACTCATTCGTTCTAATTCTCTGTCTTATAGGGAGATAGTAAGTTTACAGCTTTCATAGACAAATATTTAAATGTTTAGATAGGAATCATTTTTCCTCATCCTAGGCTAAACACACCATCAACTGTTTTACAGACAACACATTTTCATACCTGTCTCAACTAAGGGTCTTCTATTCTCAATGCATTCCAGTTCTTTTAAAAAAAAAAAAAAGTGCGTGTTATAATCTCTATACCAAATTCTGTGTAATTTAGATTTCTTACAAGATTCTTATTTATACAAAAAAGAAAAAAGAAAAAAATTTAAAGTGTTCCCAGATCTGAACTGATCAGTCATTGTTATTATGCGTAGTTCATTTATGGACTCAACAGAGATACACTTTCTACAGTGAGCACTGCTGGTTAATAATTATTGCATATTTACTATGCACCACACCTGTTTATACATGTAATTTATTTAATCCTCACTGTATCCTGTGAGGTACATGCTGTTTTCACTATTTAACACATGAAGAAAATAAGCCACAGAGCTGTGAAGTATCTTACCCTGTATTACATGATTTGTACTGAATCTTAGTACCAAAACTGAAACTCAAACCTGGGCAGCCTTTAACCACTGTACTAGATATACTAAGTTGCTCTTTTGTGAGTCGATTTGAAAAACCTACATTTTATGTCAGTTTTTTGGAGCAGCCCATTTGTAATTTGGAGAATTAAGTTAGAATAGAAACCTTTCCTGTACTGAATTCTGTTAATTGTGTGGCTTTGCCTGTTCCCTGATACATAAAATATGGAAAATATCTGTCTCAAAATGTTATTTTAAGGATTTATATGCACACATGCACATGTTTACGCAAATATTATTAACTAAAGCACTGTTGTTTTACACCCTAGCCTAGTATCTCTATTATTTTATTTATTTATCTATTTATATTAGAAATAGGGTCTGACTTTGTTACCCAGGCTGGTCTCAAACGCCTGGCCTTAAGTGATTCTGCTGCCTCAGCCTTAGTATCTGTATTTTTATATTAATTAACAAATTATAATTGCATGTGTTTGAATGAGTGAATTTTTTAAAAGGGAATATAGAATTTAATATGAAATACGTTTATTAAAATGGTTAGTCACACCATCTTATATTGCAGGAGAGTGGGAAACCTTGAAGCGCAAAGGTAAAGTAACTTGCAGTTTAGGCCATTTTCTGGTGATAACCAAGTTACTTTTCCCTGAACCAGGGTAGTACCCTAGTCTTCTAGCTTTTTTAGAAGTAGCAGGACTTAGTGTAGATAAAAAGTCAAAATACTAAACTTAAATATGAAGAATTTTAGTTTCATGGTAGAATTATTAGAAGTGTTTTAACAATAATGGATTATCCAGAATAATAGATGGTCCTTTTTAAAGTTTTATTCATTTATTTTTGCAAAATGAAATTTATTTACTTGGAAAATTATAATTTTCAGAATCTGTAGGTATTGATTTATAAATGATTTGTGCATTAATAGTTTCCATTTTTATTCTAGGACAAATTTATTTCTATGAAATTCATCTTTAAATGGCACATGTTTTGAATTTTTAAGGACTTTACTAACACAGAGATTTGCAGATATTCCCATTGCTAAAATCATAGAAATTTATAAGTATAAGCAAAATATTATGCGTTTTTATTTAACTTTTAAGTTTAGGGGTACACGTGAAGATTTGTTATATAAGTAAACTTGTGTAATGGGGGTTCATTGTACTGATTATTTTGTCACCCATGTATTAAGCCTAGTACTCAGTAGTTGTTTTTCATGTTCCTTTCCTTCCTCCCACCCTCCATATTCCAGCAGGCCCAGTGTCTGTTGTTCTCCTCTATATGTCTATGTGTTCTCATCATTTAGCTCCCACTTATAAGAAAGAACATGTGGTATTTAGTTTTGTGTTCCTGCATTAGTTTGCTAAGGATAATGGCCTCTAGCTCCATCCATGTTCCTGCAGAGGACATGATCTGTCTCTCTCTCTTTTTTTTAACGGCTGCATAGTATTCTGTGGTGTATATATACCACATTTTCTTTATCCAGTCTGTCAGTGCTCGACATTTAGGTTGATTCCATGTCTTTGTTGTTGGACTAGTACTGCAGTGAACATACACATGCATGTGTCTTTATGACAGAATGATTTATATTCCTTTGGATATATACCCAGAAATGGGATTGCTGGGTATAATGGTATTTCTGTCTTTTGGTCTTTGAGGAATCTCCACACTGTCTTCCACAATGGTTGAACTAACTTACACTTCCACCAACAGTGTATCAGCATTGCTTTTTCTTTGCATCCTCGCTAGCATCTGTTTTTTTTTTCTTTTTGTTTTTGTTTTTTTTTTGACTTTTTGATAATAGCCATTCTGACTTGTGTGAGACAGTATTTCATTGTGATTTTGATTTGCATTTCTCTAATGATCAGTGATTTTGAGCTTTTTTTCATGTGCATGTTGGCCACATGTATGTCTTTTCAAAAGCATCTGTTCATGTCCTATGCCCACTTTTCAGTGGGGTTATTTTTTTCTTGTTAATTTAAGTTCATCATGGATGCTAATATTAGACCTTCGTCAGATGTGTATTTTGTGCAAATATTTTTTATCCCATTCTGTAGGTTGTCTGTTTACTCTGTTGATAGTTTCTTTTGCTGTACAGAAGCTCTTTCATTTAATTAGATTCCATTTGTCAGTTTTTGCTTTTGTTGCAGTTGTTTCAGAGAATATAATGAATACCTCTATGCATATAAATTAGAAAATCTAGAAGAAATGGATGAATTCCTGGACACATACACCCTTCCAAGACTCAACGAGGAAGAAATAGAATCCCTGAACAGACAAAAAGCAAACTCCAAAATTGAATCAGTAATAAGTAGCCAACCAACCAAAAAAGCCCAGGACCAGATGAATTCACAGCCAAATTCTACCAGTAGTGCAAAGGCTGGTACCATTTCTATGGAAACTATCCCAAAACATTGAGAAAGGACTCCTCTCTAACTTATTCTGTGAAGTTTTATTTTTGTTTTTTTAAATAGAATCAACACAGTATCCTTTATGAGACGCTATGGACTTGAATTTTTGTACCTCCGTAACTTCCTTCTGCCTTGCATCAATTTGATATCAATGGATCAATATTTTTGAAGCATTGGTAGCATAGTATTTCAAGTATCGTTAGTTCTCTTTAAAAAGAGTTACTAATTGAATTTGTATCATGTTTGAATACGCTTTATTCTCTAGCTAATCAGGTTATAGTAGAAAATTTAGTTTAATTGTTGAATAGACTAGTCAAGTTGATTTTAAAATAATCGTGTTGGAGAAACCACAGACAGTCATCTAATTGAGTTTCAGACTTGATATAATCATTTTATGTTTTAAGTGGAATCTACCCTGGGAATTAGTCTTGTAACTCAAATACTTTATTTTTTTTGGATGAATTAGTTGAATTCATGTATTATCTATAAGCATAAGGAGATCCATTTAAGCTCATCTCAGAGTTTGAAAAATGCCGTTTATTTAAAAAATATTAACTTCCAATTTTAAGCAGCAATTCATTCTAATAAGTAATTTTAACAATATTTTATGTACAGATTGCCCAAGGACTCCAGATACTCCAAATAGTGACCCTCGTTGTTCTACTAGCAACAATAGATTGAAGGCTCTACAAAAACAATTGGATATAGAACTTAAAGTAAAACAAGGTGCAGAAAATATGATACAGATGTATTCAAATGGATCTTCAAAGGTAAGTGTAGTAAATAAACGTAACTATATAGTCAATCACTATTTGCAGATTCAGTAGTTATAAATTTATCTATTCATTAAAATTTATTTGTAACTCCAACATCAGTACTGGTGGCATGGCACTTTTGCAGTCATTTGGGTACATGTGGAGCAGGGGAAATTTGAGTTATCTGACATGCTTGTTTCCTGCTGAGGTGGAATACGGTGATTTTGCTTTCTTAAGCTATTGTGCACTAAAAAATACCCCTTTTGAGATATATTTAGTTTTGTGTTTTTCACATTTTTGTGCTTTTAACTGGTAATTTCACTGTTTAAACACTACATTAAGACTTCTGAGATCATTTTGATCTCAGAATTTAAAAGTAAGAACAAAAAAGTTTAGAAACTTTTTTTTTAAGTAACATTTTAAAAATTGTTTATTCCTACCAAAACCCAGTTAATAAAAAATTTGACCTTATGGGTAAAGGATACACACAAGCTTTCCTTTCCATATCTGCAACTTTTCTATAAAGCTAAAATTATTTCAAAAGAAATTATTTAAAAGGATTTAGTCCATAATGAATTTTCTACATACAGGTTTTTGGGAGAGGGCAAATGAAAAGATGGGACAGTTTGTCATCATCAATAAATAATTGCTTGGCCTAGACTTGGGCATTCTTGTGGATCTGGTATGGGCATATAACTCCTAACTGAAAATCAGTGTTAGGGGGAGCAATTCTTAGTAATAGGAATATGTCCTTGTTATTAGGTATAATGTAGAAAAAAAAATGTTGTGAACCACTAAATCAGATTATCCTCAAGGTTCTCTTTAGCCTAAGGTTTCTATAGTTTTAATAATTTCCAAAAATTCTGGAAAGGTGTAAAATTATAAAATATACCTTTTAACTTTCAACTCTTGTATTTTAAAGATGTTTATGTTTGCAAATGAATTTTTTAATATTTTAATAGATTTTTTAAAATAATTTCATAATAAAAGTTCTTACGTATTTCTTTTCTTTGTTTAGAAACAATGTGAAATTAGAGGGAAATTTTTTTTCTTAGTCAGGCATCATAGCTACTCACCACAAATGAAATTTGAGGCTGGGCCTGGTGGCTCATACCTGTATACATAGGACTCTGGGAGGCTGAGGCAGAAGGATTCCTTGAGGCCAGGAGTTTGAAACCAGCATTGTCAATATAACAAACCCTGTCTAAAAACTTATTTAAAGAAAAAAGAAATTAGGGAAGATACTGAAAAGAGAGAAATGTATACTTTTTCTAAATAAGATGTTTTAAGGCCAATTATGAAAATTAGATGTAAAAGAATTTTTTGTTACTTTTAGAGAAATGTATTTGTTTTTATTTACTTATGTGATATTTGATAGGATATTATTTCACTAACTGTACATTCCTTATCAGATGATAGTTATTTTTTGTGCTGTTATTTAGTTTTCGGGATTTTTTTATTTTTATAAAATGTTATTTTGACCATTTTTTAAAAAATAAATACTTTATTCTGGACCTTCGAATTTAGCACATTATGCTGAGCATTTTTAAATTAAATTAACCCAACTACTGCCCTTTGGAGTAAAGTTTTTAAATTTGGGGTTGATGGATTAATTTGAGGGGTTTATGAACCCTTTGAAGTTATGGGAAAAGTGATTATTATGTATGTTTATAGTTGTGTGAATGAAAGGGATGTAGGTTACACTTCATTCTCAAAGTGTTCTTTAATCCACAAAAGATTACAAACCACTGCTCTAAGTTGAACAGAGTTACAGACAAAGCAAAAGTAAAACAAATAGATTACCTAAAACAACCACAGGTCCAAAATGAACAAGGCTGTGAGCATCCTGTTAAAACAAGTATGTCAATTTTCCATAGCTTTTTATTTTTAATTAGGAGATTTATTAATTTGAGGAGGACTCAAATGAAGGTCTAAAGCCTATTTGCAACTACTATAGTCTTCTGAGATAGGCCTGACAGTTATTTCTTTCTGGAGTCCACCTTAACTGTTTTCATTTTTCATCTTTAAACTTTTCAGAGGGTCAAAGTATATCGTTTTAGATTAGGGAAAATTATAAATTGAAATTATGTGGAATATTTATACATTCATTAAAGATTTAAGTAAAAGTTTGACAGCCATTATGCCAGATTCTGGGGTATAAGTGTAATAAAGATGTTGCCTTATTACATAGTAGATACTAAATAGATAATACCCTGCTTTTAAGAGATTCACTATCTTAAAAGGAGATATATTACATGTAAATAGTTACAGTGTGTAATAGTAATTTGTTTGGCTGACTAGTGATTTCATTGACTGACAATGAAGAAGAATCATTTGACTGCCAGAATAAATCTTTTAAGTTTTAGTATGATATTTGAAAGATGATCTGTCATTTAATAAGAAATTACTTTTCAGGGATGGCAGTATGGTTGAATGCAGTATGTACATAGTAAGGAGCTGTGGAATAGCCTGGCTTGTTCTAAGGAATGAAAGTGATTTGCTGTGGCTATAGCACAAGTTCTTAGCATATTTTTTACCTAACATATCTGAGGGTAGGTAGAATGTACTTCTAATAGTAAGAGTTGTCAACTCTAGCAGTCATTTTCAATTAAAAGCCGTAGGGAAACAAATTTGAATCTCCAGAAAGACATATTTTGTTAGGGAAAAGTCCTCCAGGTGGTTCCAATAGTACTTCTTTGCCTTCCCTACCAGTGGAGTTTTAAGTAGGTCAGGCATGGTGAGAGATATAACATAACTTGAAGACAAACCAGGTTGTATGGTAGTTTGCACAGAAATAAGCAGTTGTGATTATCTTACAAGATAGGTGGAGCTGCCAAAAGACTTTTAGCAGGGAAAATACACAATCAGATTTCAAGTTTAGAAAGTTCACATCCATCCTGCTCAGCCTTAAAGAATTAATTAAAGAAGGCCATGTATGCAAGCAGCAAGTTTAATAGGTTTTCGTAGTAGTTCAGGCTAACTAGTTTCCTTTCTCTTGTAATAGCAGTGAAAACAGTGAAGATAAAGTCATACTTTTGGTATCTTGGATACGAGGAAGGAGGCAGAGTCAAAGATTATTCTTAGATCGGTTATGTGGACAGTCTGACAAATTATGGTGCCCTTCACAATGACAGAGAATTCATGAGGGGGAGCAGATTTAAGGACAGGGATGGTTAATTCAGTTTGGCCTTAAAAATTGTTAACAGAACTCTGGTTATTGGATTCTACATGATGAAAGTATTACCCTCCTGCATGTTATAATTGGAACTGTCCTTTTAAAATTTGTCAGATAATTTCACCCTCCTGCTTCAAAACCCTCCAGTGGTTTTCCCTCATATTTACAACGAAATCCAAAGTTCTTACCCTGACTGAAAACCCATAGCTTCTGATCTCATCTTCTAAAACACCTTTCTCTCTCATTACACTCAAGCTACACTGGCTTCTTTTCTATCCCTTAAACATAGCAAGCACACTCTTACCTCAGGGCTTTTGCACTTGCTATATCCTTGCCTGGGTATCTATTCTTCCAAGCACTTTTGTGGCTTTCTCATTCATTAAGTCATCTACTTGGATACTACCACCTCAGCAAGCTCTTCACTGCCATTCTAAGATAAATAGCAACCTCTGGCTCTTATCCCTTTATTGTATTACCAGTACCTTAAATTACAATTTATGTGATCAATTTTTTTGGCATCAGTTTTCAGCATTAGAATATAAATTTCATGCAGTCAGAGACATTATCTTGGTTATCACCATATCTTCAGTACCCAAAACACACTACATTGAAATATTTTGCTGCAAATACTCAGTAAGTATTTGTTAAAACAATGGACTCTGCTTTGCTGCCCATTCATTGCCATTTATCTTCTTTTGGCCCATAATTTACACATTGTTCCTTTTCTTATTTCATATCTGTGTATACTATAATTATTTTCATATTATCCCTTTTATGATTAACATGTTTTTATTGTCAGTACAAAGATCTGAGGCATGGGATGCAGTTATGTTACCCTGTTACATAAATAGTATAGCTTGCTATTTCCTTATTTGGTAGTGTGGCTTTAAGCAGCATCGTTTTTTTTCCCCCCTTTGGAATGATCTCTGAGGATTTGATAAGACATATTAAAGACATACCTTTTGGTTTTTTTGTTGTTGTTTTGGTTTTTTATGAGATGGAGTCTTGCTCTGTCACCCAGGTTCCTCAAGTGCAGTGGCACAATCTCTGCTCACTGCATCCTCTGCTACCTAAGTTCAAGTGACTCCCCTGCCTCAGCCTGCCTCCCGTGTAGCTGGGATTACAGTTGCATGCCACTATGCCTGACTACTTTTTTTTGTATTGCTAGTAGAGACAGGTTTTGCCATGTTGGTCAAGCTGGTCTCGAACTCCTGACCTCAAGTGATACGCCTGCCTGGGCCTCCCAAAGTGCTGGGATTACAGGCGTGAGCCACTGTGCCTGCCCATGTCTCCTGTTTATAGAATCACTTGAACCCAGGAGGCAGAGGTGAGCCGAGATTGCACCAGTGTACTCCAGCTTGGGTGACAGAGTGAGACTCCATCTCAAAAAAAAAAAGAGAGAGAAGGAAAGAAAAGGGAAAATAAAGAAAGAAAAAAAAAAAAAAAAAAAAAAGACATGTCTCCTGTTTATATATGCAGGCGATAAACCGAGGTATTTATCAAAATTTGGGGTTCTTTCTAGCATCTTGCATGAGCTTTAAGGGTTCCCCAAGCTTCTACCTATAGATATACCAAATTGTCCATCCAGGTCTCCCCAGCCCCCAATTCTCCAGTCTTGTTTGTTTAACCTTTGAGATCTAATTGATAATAGAAAAAAGTTACACATATTTAGTTACACATTTCAATTAGTTTGGATATTTGTATACATATGTATGGACACGGGATACCATCACAACAATCAAGTTACTTCCAAAAGTGCCCCTGTGTTCTTTAGTGGGAGTTTGTTTTTATTTTTTTTCCTTGTTGTTTAAAGAGCACTTAACATGAGAAATTCTCCAGC